TTCAGCATTAATTCTGCCATCCCAATTTGGCACCGCTGTCACWTTTTATCTGTGCAAACTGCAACAAAGGGAACCACCACAAATGCACTTTCAAACAGAAAATACAGCAACTTCTGCATCACTGGGCAGGATTAAAGGAAAATTCTGAATGTGCACATGTCCAAAAAAAGCCTCTTTTGTACTGATGTTAAAGAGAGGCACAGCACAGGGAAGGCAAAAAAAAAAAAAAAAAAAAAAAAAAAAAAAAAAAAAAAAAAAAAAAAAAAAAAAATAAAATTTTTACCACCAAAGGATCTCCAGCCCCTGAGCAGAGCTGCCATTTCTGKCTGCAAATAAATTCTCCTTTGGCATGGCTCAGCTGTCAGGCACCTCCAGTCTGTAATGAACCCATGAATTACATCCTGCAGCTCTGACATCTCTGGGCTTGCTCATCAAAATATTGTTCTTCAATTGTAATTTATAACTTAATTTCAATGTCCCTTTCCTGTGACCTTTTTTAGAGCAGAATGCCATTGCATCTGGCAGCTCCTGCTCCAGCAAAGCATCTTTGGGCAATTACAGCCATTCTGATGTCCCTTGAAAGGCCCAGCTCAGTGAGGATGAATTCAGACCAAGATATTAAATAATTGCACTCCATTAAGGACACTGAGATCCCAGAGCTTTTTTCTCCATGGAGAAATTGCTGTTATCTCAACAGAGTTTGACTGAACTGCTTCAAGCCTGGGGTGGGTTGGGATGGAATTTGAAGTAGAAGGGATTTTTGGGGCAGAACTCATTTTTATGGGGCTGTGCCATGTCCAGCACTGGAATTCCAGAGTTCTCCAGATTCCAGTGCTGGTTTTTCCATGGGAGGATGAATTATCATGGACAAATCCCACCCCAAGGAGAGGGAGAATTTAAAACACATAGAAATGAGAGCAGAATGGGCACCACAGCCTTGAGCAGCTCCACCTTTGGGGGCACAAACTCCAACCCCACTAATTGAACATTAAAATGCAATTCAGGCCCCWTCTTTCAGCAGCAGAGCTGACAAATTCCAGTGTAAAATTTCTTCACAACTATGGATATCCTGCCCAACTGTGGCAGTGGAAAATGCTCCTTTTCATTTTAATCAACCATTTCTAAAACCCAGCAAGAGAAGAGCCTTTAGGGCATTATTTGGGTATCATTGGGTATTTATCAATCATTTCCTAAAACCCAGCAAGAGAAGAGCCCCAAGTGCCCTTTAGGGCATTATTCAGGTATCAGACAAAATCAAAAAAAAAAAAAAAAAAAAAAAAAAAAAAACACAAAAAAAACCCCAAAAAAAAAAAAAAAAAAAAAACCACAAAAGAAACCCCCAAAAAAACCCCCAAGTTCCATCTTTCCCCCCAAGTTCTAATGTGTTTTAAGCATCTAACTACCTGATGCTGAAGATTAAAAATCCTGGTTTTGTGATTCAGCCCCTCTGCCCACACGGGCACTGCCAGGGAGCTGCCAAAGAGCCCAAAATGCAGCACAGAACAGCAGAGGGGCAATACAGGCATGGCCAGCACTCCATAAAGAGGGTAAGAACTCACAAATGACCTGCAAAACTCACAGCAGCACTTTAAAAAACCCTTCCCAAAAAATGGGAGCACTTTGCATATTCCCCCCAAATGTTAAAATCAATCACAGCAGTCGTTTTTGGCCTTTTTTTATCTGAAGCAAAAAGGCTTTCTGCCTCATCTCACAGATAAAGAGGTGAAGTTTTTCCCCTCAGAGCAAGGATGGATGAAAATTTGAGTGGCCAAGTTGTCTCCTCACCTCCCCTGGGCTGGGCAGCAGCTGCTGATTCAGAGYCATCCACAAGGAAATCCAGTCAGAAGGAGAAACGCTAACATGTATTTAAATAATTTTTTTTTTATGCTTTCAACCTTGTCTGTAGTTAATGAACAAGAAAATCTGGTCTAAGGGCAAGTTAAAACAGGGAGTAATTTGTCTGGGTGACATCTTGGTTAGGAGTGAGTTTCCTTGCACTGGGATTAGGCTGTCATGTTTGTCACTCATAATGACACGTTCCCAAGCAGCAGAGCTRTGAGAAGGCACAACAACACCATTGGCAAAGAGAGATTTACACAATATTAGCATCTCATTGTTGGGCCTCTCCTACACCAGTG